TTGTAGCCTTGTTTGTTGCACTTGATTTGCATTGTGATTTGGATTTATTTGCACCCTTTCTGACGACCCCGGATTTGTTTTAATCGTAATCCCGTATTTGTGTATCACAGGAATAAGCAAACATGCGTCTCATTTATGGAGACTTATGCAACGCCAATGCTGCAGCAAGAATGTATCTTGAGAGATATCCAAATGCTGAGTGTCATCCCGATCATCGAGTATTTATTAATGTGCATCGCTCATTCTCAGAGGGTCGATTCTCTAGTCAAAGGGTTAGCGAGGGAAGATCCGTTATGTCCTACGAGGCCGAAGTCTTACAAGCAGTTGAAGAAGACCAAAGTATCTCAGTACGTGGAATTGAAGAGAGTATTGGAGTCCCCAAAAGTACTGCACATAGTTTTATTTTTTAAACGAGTTTAATTCATAACATATGCGACGAGTACAAAGTCTGCTACCCCAAGACTACCCAGAGTGCGATTTAGTCGTAAATAGTTTTGTTCAATGTGTAGTGTTCGCGTAAATTTAAGAAATCATTACGCTTATAAAGCTATTAAAGTGGTTAGTGGTGCATCTGAAGTCACCCAAGATTTTGACCTTGAGCCCACCGTGGTGGTCTAAAGCTTATAATATTGGTATGTGCTTAGAGTTCGTGACAATTAAAAGACTGCCGATTGAATTACCAAAATTGACACTTTAATTACCGAACACCAATTAAAACTAATCCACACTAATAATTAATCACACTTAACACTTTAGTTCACGTTATTTCGCTCCTAAGTCCTCACTTGTATCGCCAATTCAATACTGCTCCGGTCTTTTTTTTTGCACCCGAAGCAAATATGCGCAACCCTCCAGAAAGCGGGGGAGGGAGGTGGGGAATGCTCATAGCATACCACGCAGCCGGCTGCGTGGTTATGTAGAGACTTTTACCCACTAAACCCCACCTTTTAGTCAGGCCTTTAAGCAAGTCCGGCTTAACGGTCTAACTAGAGATCTCTAAGCCGTATACGGACGCGACCCTCCTTGGCAGAAAGGAGGGCGCATTTGCTCCGGTCGCGGCCCTAACGGCTTTTATATAGGCCTTTTCCACCGAAACATCTAGAATATTCCAACAATTACTGGTCCCGAACGACTAGGTGTAGAAAGTTCGAGTGTGGACTTTTCTAGAAAGCTTAGTTCTTCTATTCGATACTAGATGGCGCTGGAGGCGGAAAGTTCTAGCATAGAATTTTCTAGAAAGCTCTCCTCGCTTTGCTACCCGACACTAGATGGCACTAGGGGCATTAATTATGGCTTGCAGCAATATTATAGTTATACGGTTTTAGTATGTCACAGATTACGAATTTTCATTACCATCATCGGCCTGTGGCAATCCACATAGGCATTTCCCAAGGCGCACCGTTTAGCCTGATCTTCGGCTTCAACCAGTTGCTGCCAGCCCCATTGCGCAGATCGTCACTCCATCTAGCCAGGGAGCGTACTACGTTAGGATTAACTTAGCTTGGTTTCTACTCTATGACACATTTACTTCAACGGTTATCACTTCTGCGATAAATGTGACTAGCCCTTTGCCACTTCAGCTTGCAAATACGAAAGAATATGTCGGTGGACTTGGTCGTTCAGCGGATTTCTTCTTTACGAATCTTATCCACCAGAGTAACTCCGAGCATAGCATCACTCGCTGGACGACTTGAATTTGAGAAATAGTACGACTATTATTTCTATATCCACGTCACCATATTTGAATACAGATAGGACGCACTAGTGGACTTCCCTAATCAAGCTTCCCGAATGCTGTGTCCAGTCCAACAGAATCCGGCTCTCAGCTTCTTTCCCGAAGTAGTTTGGTACCCTTGAACAATTTCAAGAACCTCATCATCTACGATAATCTGGTATGACGTGAATCGAATATGGTATGACATAAGAATTTTACGTTCCCAATTTGTCTCAGCCGAAATAAGGATATGTTATGAAATGGGGTAATAGAATTTCTTATAACGCAACCACAAAGATTGTTAAATAAAAGTCACAATGTTATGAACATATTTAATTAGTAACATCAATTATTGTAGTCAACAATTTAGTTTACTCGACGTACACAATAAGTTCTCGCATGCCAAATTAAGAGGACATTATAAAACATTAATTGACCTGTCAACTTCAAAAAGAAACAACTTAAACCAAATGAGAACATAATTAATTAAACCGAAGCAAATTGACAGCACATGTAAAATTGCTAACATACTGTGTATGATCGCACAATATATTAGTAAAAGCACAAACAGAAATTCAACAGTTTTTCTACAGTTCGTTATTGTATAATCATAATACCTAACATCGTCACAGCAACTGAAATCACTTTGTATCAATAGATACCTGTCTAATGTAACATAAATTACTAAGTTATTAAATACTCAAAGTAAAACTCATTTTTCGCTCAGCGAATATAATTTTTCTATCTATCATAAAGAATACTGAAATAAAAATACACACTTATTTCCGAATCGAAAAGATATTTTTTTAATCGATACATTATAATTTAATACGATTCTAAGATTATTTTTAGATAAATGCAAGTATATGTTATCATTAAATATTACGTCAGTGGTCAATTTAAAAATTCTCATAAATTATCTGCTTATTTAACAAGTGTTTAATTCCATCTTTGAAAATTGTGTTAAAGTTGTAACAGTGTTCAAATTATGAAAATAGTTATTCTATATATCTTGTAAATAAAAGGCAATGTAAATTTTGCAAAATATGAAAAAAAATTGTTTTAGAGATGTTTTTCCTTTAAACAAAAATATTATAGATTATTAATTTGTTATCAAGTAAGTAAGTCCTTTTATTCTATTATGTGTTAAAACAAATCACGCATTCGACCAAATTCTAAATCAATAATAAAATTATATTCTATATTTGATTAGAATTTGACAATTTCCCGTTCTGTATCGATTAAAGTTTAAACAATAATCTATTTGCGCTACTAAATATTTTGCTAAAATGTCTTTACTACCATAATTAATTATGGTGTTTAAATACTTAAAACATGATTCAAATATACACAAAATGCATATACAGATATGCTGATGTAAAAAGTACAGATTAATGCTGTGGTGACTAGATTAGGACTTTAAAATATCCTATATGTAAAATGCTGACGTTAGTAAACAAAAATAATACACAATCAATACAGCTGCAGAAAAATACTAATTAAATACTTAATATTTGTCAGTATACTGAAACTGATGCACTTACGAGTAAGATAGCCGATCTGAAACATTGCTTAAAATATGTTCAGAAATTAAAATAATTTTATCCATATAAGTAAAACAAGACAACCTTTCTTTTCGAATAGGAAATTGATACTGATGAATGAACAAAATAAATTAAAAATAAGTGACAGTTATAAAATTACTTAAAAAAAGAAATCCAATTCGAAATTTGTAATAAAGCTAATAAAATGTAACACAATATACGAAAGGTAACTGTTATTATACACACTAAAACATATTTGAACTTTGTGAAATACTACCCACTAACACACACACACATATTTATAGATACACAAATATAGTAAGTATGATTGCTAAGCACTAATGAAATTCAATATGTATTTTACACTAAAGCGTTGCATTTTATTTTATTTTACACTAAAGCGTTGTATACTAATCTCGTAGCACAAAGTAAACAATAATGTTGTCATTACAGAAGAACTATATGAAATAGTATATCAAAATACACTTAAATAAATTTTTACCACTTATTAAATAAACTTACATTAAATAAATATTTTCAATCATAAATTTCGAGAGAATATGTTTTATGCTTACTTTTCGGCAATGTAGGTCAAATTAACTTCTCTACACTGTAGGCAAATTTCTATCAAATAATTTTTTTTTTTTGGTGTCTATAGGTAGTATAAATAGATATTGAAAAATATATACATACTAGGAACACATTTAATATCAACAAAGTAAATGATTTGTTATGATTTAATATATATATACATAATGTGTGTATATATATATATATATATATATATATATATATATATATATATATATATATATATAAATTATGATTTATATGTAGTGTGCAGTATAATATTTTAAAAAGTAACTCAGTAGAGCTTAAAATCAAAGCAGTAAAACGTTACTAAATCTATGCCAATTAAACATAATTGGTTGTGTGCTAGTAACTGTCAAATGATTCATTGCATACTCAAAAATTAATGATATATTCCTTGTTCACTATGTATGTACCACTGTTTTCGTTTTGTCATCATTACACATAAAATAACAAATTCAAGTAAAATACTGTTTTAATGATATCGAATATTATTTTTAAATATATTATGCTTTGTTTTCTTTTAATCTTAAATTTGTTGCTTAAACCGATTAATGTATTATTTAGTTAAATATTTTAAAGGGTATCGTGTCACCTTTATTAGGTATAGAACATAATAATACACAATATATAATATAATAGTAATATGTTAAAAAAGGATTAACATATATTTAATGTCACTCTAACATCGACTTTTTGTTTACTTTTATGCTATAAGATTAGTAATTCAGATATATTGTAATGTCAACACATTAGTTGTAACATATATAATACTTCTTCTATAGCTGGAAAAAGTAATTAACAGACACATATTTGAACACTGATTCATAGCTGGTTTATCATACTTAAACTGTCTGCTAACCCTCGCTTATATAACTGTAAAATGTCGTGCTCTACTATTGTGACAAATTCTTGAACAATTTTGTTTATATTTAAAGTATTAGACCTTTCCTTTAAATATTCATTGTATTTTAAACATCACTTTACATCCCTAATAAGTTTTCTTAATTCTTCCAAATTTTTGTTAAATTTATTATATGAGATACAATCTAGGTTTTTGTGATAATGAAAGATTATTTAAGATAATGGTAATCTAGAATATAGTATAGTAGGGAAAGGTCTAAAAATTCAAATATTATTACACTCAATGCTTAAATATTTTTAGGTACTGGTTGTATGGGTCTCACATTGAATTTCTCCTCTGGCTTCCAGTCCCATACGACTGGCATGGAGCTCTCGTAATTATAATTGTACATTTGATTTTCTATATGTTTCGTGATGTCTTTCGGCTCGGGATACACAGAGGCAAGACCTAAAAGTACATGAAGATTTATTAATATATAAGTTAAGTGGATTATATGGTTTTATAAAATATTTAAAGAAAATGTGAGTTAATCGATTTTTTCTATTTCTATAATTTATTTCATCATAACTTATAAACATTATCAAAATCTATCATGTTAAGCAGATGTCTGGTTTCCAAGCAGATCACTTTACAAAAATTATACGAAAAAAACTAACACAAATGATAGAACAACAAAACAACTAACTACCAAAAAAATACATAAACAAACCATAAACGTTTCCAAAGATTTTAATTTTTCATGGATTGAATACCTGTAGGTATATAACGAAAAATATTTAATAAAATCCCAACTTAAAAATATTTGTGTTTGTTAACTTCAAGATTTTTGTTGTTTAATGTTTTCGTGAATATGTTTGTAAGTGAAGCCGGCCACGGTCGAGCGTGTGCCTGCTGTTCTAACATATTATGTCAGAAGAGTCACAAACAAGATTGGCTACATCTTGAAGCAAGTTTCTATTTAATTAGGTTTTTAAATTACGGCAGCTTGAAGTTGGTTTCAAGGTGCCGTAGGGAATTAGACAATTTTTACCATACGTCGATTGCCGTAGGTATTAGACAATATTTACCATCCATCGACTTTAATATCCCTCTAGAAGATCAGACAATTTCGACATCTACGAGATTAGACAACTTTTACTATCCGGCGATTGCCGTAGGGGATTAGACACTTTTTAGCATCCGTCGATTGTACATCTCACAGTGAAGAGTGTACCAACTTGATTTTGAATGTGATCGCTTTTACATAGGACACACACTAACTAAAAGACCTACAAAACCCGCGTAAAAGAACATATAGCTGGAGTGAAGCACCGATGCTCGAGGCAGTCTGCAGTTTATGAGCATGTTCAAGATCGTCCCCGCTGTTACATCACGTTTGATGGGTAATTCATCATCACCCTAAGAAATTCACCCTAGGTTGGATAATCTGAATTCACTTGTTGATTGTTGTTGCGCCTTTCCACCCCATATACATGTTCAACAGAAAATGTACTCATACTGTAATATATTACTGATTAATTATAATAACCACAAACTTAAACAAAAATCATATTACGTATTGCATTTAAACCAAATTAAACTTGCTTATTTTAAATAATAATAAGTAGTTCATAAATTCTGCAATATGTCCAGGAAATAACCAACATTAATTCATTATGGAGTTGACGGAATTGTATAATACCTGTAAAGTTCCTCTCTCAAAAAAAGAAATTTTAAAATTTGTTAAGAAACATACTATTTGCTAGTAGTGTGTTTATAAAATTAACAATATATTTATTTAATTTAAATACCTACTTCAATAAAATACAATTGAAATTAATTACAGTAAAAAAATTATTTCATCATATATCTACAAAAGTACGTAAATGACGTCACATCAAATAATATGTCATTGAACAATTAAAAGTATTTCAGTTGTGACCTTAATCATTTTTTTTTTATATATATATTACAAGTATGCTAATGTCCACTAAGTAATCTTGGGCCAATTTCTATCATGTTTTTATAAACTACTGTACACAGCCGAGGGGGAAAATCGGAAGAAAAATTATATACGAATTCCGATTATCCATCCCATCTGGGGTGGATAAATGAACACGCGATTCCGAGTATCCACCCTAGAGATGATTTCTTAGCGTGGATAAAGAAAATAATAACACCGTTGGATAGACCATAAATAGTCGAAAAAGAACAGCCATTCCTACCATGGATGATTCGCGAGGCTATTGAATTTAAGAAACATTAAAATTTTAATAGAGAATATGAATGGGTGAGGCCATCTGCTTGGGATCCTATAATTTATAAAATTAAATCCAAACTCAAGCATGTCACTGCGAGACTTGAAGATACTGTAAGCTCATTCTGCTTAGATCAAACAAAATTTAACGTTGTTGCTATGCATCAATAAAATACATACCCTCGTCGTACGCCATCTTAGCAACCTCTATCGCAATAGCGAGCGATACATCCTTAACTTCCGCCAGCGAGGGATAAATACGACCAATAGCCAAGTCTGATTCGCTCACATAGTTTGCCAGAGTCTGGAAAGAGACATTAAATATTTAAGTACGGTATGTTTATTTATTGAAATCAACCCATGTGGCTAACAGAACGCATTTCAATACGCCAACACGCAATCTTAAAGTACATTTACATTCCATAAGCTTTTTACGTGGTAGAGCCATGCTAAAAAATGGCCTGTTCTAAACCCTTTTACCTTCCATCTAGTCCTCACGGGTGACAAGTCTCAATTTCAATAATGTATCTAGGGCCAAACAACCACTTACCATCGATGTGTGCTCGTTTGTCACCCTATACTATAAAAAAATGCAAAATAAAATAATAAATTACGTAGGTATTCAAAATTAGAAATTAGGTACATAGTATGCTGAATAAAATATATAATTGATTGATATATAATTGATTGAAAATGGTAAAATAGCAAACAACTTAAGAATTAATTATTACCAATTTAAAAAAATCAACATTAAAATTTTAAGTTTGAATGTGTTTTTAGAGAATTTTTTATTTTATTTTAACAAAGGCACAACTCATGCCAATAGAACTGTTATTATTTGTACTTTAACCTACGAACCCTTACACCATCAGGTAAAAAACAAAACATCGCAAAGTAAAGAAACTTGAAATTTTAAAATAAGTATTCAATAAGACCCAAATTTTGATATATATTTAGGAAAATAAAAGAATGGTCAGGTTTCCTTTCAAGACTATATGATCATTTTCAAGTGGAGCTTCATTTTACATTGCTGCTCACAATTTTATAGGGAGAGGTCTTGATATATAATAATTTATCTATTGTTTACATAAATTGCTTTAGGTGATTAATGATTCTACTCTTTCAACCATCATTTTTCAATAACGGTGCCACTTAAAATAAACTTATTACATGGAGGTGTCAAGTAAAAGTAGCATTTGGACAAGTTAGTACTTGAACTATTGAAACTAATGCCATACCTGGCTGCTAGCGCATTCTTGGAAAGTTCTCTACATCCAGCAATGGACTTAAGGTCTATATAATATAATTACATCTAATATATCTCATATAAACATATCCATAAAATTATTGAGAGGAATGATTAAATATTGAATATAATTTCACTACTACTTATTTTGTTTACTATTTACTTTATTTTATTAACATTCCATCTAAAAAATGGATACTTAAGTGGAAAAAAAATTACATAGATGAGACATGCTGTAGCATAACGCTTCCTGTGTTTCCTAGGATGAATGACAAGAACCGAAAACCCCTTTTTACTGGCAACACTGCATTCCATCTTAATTCCTAAGGATGACAACATATTTGCATATTGATTCATTATCGAGGATAGATGCAGATGTCTACGGGCCACAGCACTGTCAGTCAGAACTGTGCTTGTTTGTCACACTTATTGGAACGAAATATAAGACAAAATTACCCTAGCGGCGGTCAGGAACATGGTCTCGGGTATATGATGTGTCGCGGTCGCTATAACTCCAAGTGCAATGCCGGGAAATATATACGAGTTGTTGCCTTGTCCCGTGTAGTATTCCTTGCCGTTGTGCTGCACCGGCGGGAACGGAGAGCCCGATGCAAAGATACAACGACCCTGAAACAAAAGTATTATATTATGGAGACTTAACTTTCGTAGTATCTTTTCTTCAAGGCGACGTTAGGCTAGCGATAAAGTGCAACTGCAGACTTACGACACACCCCGGACCATGAAGGTTATAGAACAGGAGAACGATCACTACGTACTAAAGCATAGCCCGCCTGTCCTTGAAAATTGTAGAATGTATAGCGGCGCTGACGTCGGTGAGTAGTGACTGCGAAGTTAGCTGTTTATAAGTACAAGTAGATGAAGTTAGTTGAATAATGTGCAAATTTTCATTTCATTTTTAATGAGAAAATATTCATGCTCCGTAATTTTGTAATTTTTGACAAAAAGAAACATTAAAAAAATAAAAATACGTGTGGCACTCGGTGACTGCCGCGGTAAAGCTATTGCATAGCATTTTTTATCAACTTATGCAATTATAATTATTTATTTATTTTATTTATGCAGTTAAGTCTTTGATATTAAATCAAGTTACACTTTTTGAGAGTGGTGACCGATAAGAAAACAATTTTTTTCTCTTATTGAATAAATGAGAAGTTAATATTGTTTAAAATATTTTTAATATCTTACAATACATGTAGGTTATTCAGGTTCAGGAATTTTTATCATTCAGTTAGCAGCTAGTGTACACGCATACGTCTAGTCGCACGCACACAAACACCGTGCCGAACTCTGCCGAGTGCCGAAGTCTGCCGAACTAAAACGACGTTAGACGATGCACGGCTTTCAACGCCACACCTCCGTGCCCGTCGGAGTGGGGAGCATGAGGTTTTTTTTCGTTACGGAATTTCTGGATTCGGTCCCCGCGCTCAAGGCCCGCGATAGAAGCTATGCAATAGCTTAATAGAGAAATATTTTATTGTGCGTGGTTGTGCAAGTGGTTTAGCATCTGATCGGAAAAATAGACTAAAAATGAGTTTTATTGACCGAACTTAATGATCGCAGCGCCTCACTTATGGTGTCCATATTTCTGAGACACTATTTTCTACGGCGATCGTTCTCCTGTTATAAAAATTTAAGACTGAAACTAGATTAAAAATTAATTTATTCAATCACTTTCAGTACAACTAGTTGAGCTGTCGTTGTTTAGATTAATTAATATTTGATTTTCAATAATGCAGTCAAAATTAATATCTCTTTCAAAGTCATCCATAATCAATTTTTTGTTTCTTCTACCACTTTTTCCCAATCATCCTTTGTGACATGGGCACATGCTGCAACGAATATAGAAGAAACAGTCCAAAAAGTTTCTTCTATATACACAAAACACGCAAAAAGCACTCCGCCTTACGCACAGTAAGCTCTTGAAATGGCGGGAGATTGAAATTACGTAGTGGTTTTTTCAGCGCGACCTTGCATATGAGTTTTTTCCTCTACACAAATTTACGATAACAAAGTAAAAAAAATTGTTTTATTCATGATTAATGTAATTTAAGGAATTTCAAAAATAAAATTTTTACTAAACAAATAATTCATAAATAAATTAAGGATCGATTATTTGAATATTTTTAGCGATTATTTGAATATTTTTTCCGATTATTCGCATAACAATGAATTTTAATCATAGGTACATAGCGACATATCATGAAAACGACGTCACGTAAAAAAGTTGATACTGGTTATTTTTTTAACATTTTGCTTTGTTTGAAAGATTCGAATTTAAATTAGTGATAAAAAACTATACACGTTGTAATGAAATATAGAGAACTTCATAATTCTTCGGATTTACGTAAAAGGTGATTTTTATTTGTGTGAGTACGCTTGTGCAAAGTTATTGCGAAATGATAAATGTGAAACGTCAAAAGGTATTTCTTAGATTTGGTTGACTATTAGTGTTTGACAACGTTAAAATTCTAGAAGATGACAGTAAAGTAGTTTGGAAAGCATCAGCAAGTTTTTTTTTTCATTGATTACCGTAAACATTTCACTGCAAGAAAGTAAGAATCTAGCTTAGTCTTTAGTAAGATTTTAACCGAATTCAAAGATTGAATTTCTTACTATATGCCTCATAGACTTGACATTTTCTATTTAAATCCAAAATCCAAAACAGCTTATTCAACACAACGTTTAACGTGTCTCTTTAAAATTTTATTTTTACCCTTTTTTTTAACTTATGTATTACTTTTATTTATGTCACTGTATTCCGGTACCACTCTGGTATTTAAGTTTTAAGATTTCCCCACGTATATATTTAATTTTTCATTCGATTGATGTCGCATGTTACTCACGAATTCTTTTGATGACAAAATTAACTTGTATGCCTTCACAAATATGCTCTTTAAAAATTTCTTCCAAAAAATTAGTATCGGGTTTAGCCACTTTTTAAATTTCGTGCCTCTTTTTGAAAATTAACTATTTCATCCTGATTTCTACTAAAACTCATGAAATTTTCATAATATTATCATAATTATTCTTAAAGCTTTGACAGCTAGACTTCACTGGGGGCTGGGGGCCCTTTATATCCACGGGGCCCTGGGCTGCAGTCCAAAAAGCCTATATATAGATCCGCCCTTGTGTGTGTCTGTCAGTGATTATGTAACTTCTCAACGACTTGAACAATAGACGTCATAGTTACACAATAATAAATTTGTTTTGTGACTACTGCAGTCCGTGGACACATCGGCACATTCAGTCAATATCGTATAAAGAAGGTTATAGATAAGTTGTTACAACTAAGGACGAAGGTTACTCTTAAACTTAAGGACTTAAAGGTTCTCTGTATACTCTTCAGAAAGGAACACAAAAGGGAGTTTTGGCGGGAACTTGGCCATAGACGGATTGTCGCTCCTGTTTTGTCGCTTAAATAATGGTTTGAAGCGGATTTTGATTCGTAAAAGTGATGCGATTATGTGAATTAAGTGTCCGCGCGTGTGAACTATTAGAGAAAACGACGAAACAAGTGCTTTGATGTCGATATAAACCTCAAGTTATTTTGATCGCTTGGGCGCTTTATGAACTTGAGTGGCTATCGTGATCAACTGTACCCGCTGGGTTGAGCTGTCTTCAAAATCTCCCAAGGGCTTCGCAATGTGACGCATCAGCATATTGTGAAAATATAGAAAAAGAATATAAAAATGAAGATTCCGAAAGAAATGATCTCAGAAGGGCTAGTACCCAGAGCCGTAAAGCCAGTTAATAAAAAAACAATGCTATTTATAGGCATAAATAGGTAAGGGTACGGTACCCACCCAGACGGACTCCTAGGCAGAGAAGGAGTCCTACCACCTAGTACGGTAGGGTTAAAAACTTATACTTCCTTCTACTCATTAATTTGTGAAGTATTACGATTAATTATTTCAGAAGATCTTGGTAGCTCGAAATGAAAGGGCATTTACTTACTTCAGTATGGTCGTAAGCGTCCTGCGCCGTACATTCTGCTTTGCTTGTGGGGTTAGAAAGAGCGAAGATGATCGGTCTTTCAATGTTCTTCGCCATCTGCTTCAAGACATTAGGAGTGAAAGCACCACCAACTGTAGAGCAACCTATGAAACAAGCAAGTAAAAACCGTTAAAAATATTCATTATATAAATTAAAACAAACACACCTGTGTCGTAGAGTTGTACATACATTTGTTGACCTGTAAGCTGTATGAACACTATTATTAAATGTGGGATTCAAGACCACAGCCCTAAAAATGCTTGAGCTAGCTTAGCTACAGTTAATTTTAGAGCTATCGCCGTGTGATGATGTGGCTATGGGCTAATGCTAGAAGACTGTTTGGTATCCTATGAAATCATCTGGCGATTGCGGGGAGCAGCGAATGTGAAAGCAGGGCTTAATAACGTTACCAAATCCAATTAAAAATTAATTAAAGTAACTTTCACATAAATACATTTACGTACACATGTGCAAAAATTAACACACAGTCCACCTGATGGTAAGTGGACACTATAGCCCATAGACATCTAGATCTATCTATCTTCAATTAAGAATCAGAATGCAAATGCGTTCTAATTCTTGAGGAATAAGATGGAATGCTTCATTTCCTCTAATAATGGTCTCCGGTTCTACACTCACTATATGAAACACAGCAGTATTTAGCTGCTATTTTAAGCTGGTATTCTGTGAGGGTGTGGTCCTTCCCTGGTCGAGCTGACAAATTCGTGCAAATACGATAATATAGCTGCAGCCACTTTGTACCATATATATTTGACGGCGCAGTGGGGCGAAGTGGCTTAGTAATGAGTGGCTGCGCTGGGGGCCGCAGTTTCATTTGTATGGCCTACAAATAATTGTTCAGGGTCTGGATGTTTGTCCTTGTGCAATTTATGTTTTTAAACTGCATCCACGATACAGGAGAAAATCCTAGTGTGGGGGTAACGTTATTTAAAAAAGAAAGGAAAGATATTAAGAATTATCGACACCTCTTTACTAGTTCATGGTAATTAAGAAAAAAGTAACGCTACCACGGAGCACGGTAGCACGGAATTTTCGAGACGGCGCCAATGCAGTTGTTAGTTGCAATTTGCAAAATTGATAAAATACCTGTTTACAAGGTGCTCGTCGCCTTTGTAATTTTAAGTACGTCGCTTTGCACAAAAAAAAAGTCAAACCGAAACGACTTCATAAAGTTAACCCATAAATGTTAAATTTATTGGTATATTAAGTGTAACGTTACATAGGCCCGTATTAATAAGCGTTTCTCAGCTCAAGTGCAAAGGAACGCCACAGAGCACGGCCTTGAGCCACCTGCATCCATCGACTTCCTGCATGTCTTACCATGTCGTCACTCCATCTAGTGGGGGGTGCCCCACACTTTGTCTACCGGTACAATCTTGCCACTCGAGAACCTTTTTTCCCATCGGTTGTCGGTTCTTTGAGCTATATGGCTGGCTCATTGCCACTTCAGCTTACTAATCCGTTGGGCTATGTAGGTCACTCTGGTTCTACTGCGGATAACCTCATTTCTAAGTTTATCACGCAGAGAAACCTCCAGCATAGCCCTCTCCATAGCTCACTGAGCGACCTTGAGCGTCCTCACACGGCCAGCAGTGAAGGACCACGTCTAAGTTCCATAAGGCATCACTGGCAACACGCACTGGTAGTACGGTCTCGTTTTCAGGTTTTGAGATATAGCTGACGAGAAGGTGTGTCGTAATTTTCCAAACGCTGCTCAGCAGAGTCAAATCCGTCGATTGACCTCTCGGCCGAAGTTGGACTTACCTAGTCGGACTATTTGTCCCAGGTAAACATACTTGTCAACAACTTCGAGCTTAGTGCTCCCAATAACTACCCGCAAAGGTCAAAGATGGACGTTACACATGATCTTTGATTTGTCTATGTTGATCGTATACATAAACACTCACGCCTGTCACCCAGAGGGGTAGGCAGAGACTACGGACTTCCATTTGGCACGATCCTGACATACCTCTTTCGCTTTCGCCTCCTTTACATCCATATATCTACACATACATGCTCGTCGGTTAAGGGTACTTCTAACGTGGCCCATTTTCAAAATATCGCCAATTTGGTCGATAAACTTTTTCTAGGGCGTCCCTTCCCGACTCGGCCGTTAACATCTGCCATATAAATTTGCTTTGTCACTCTTTCCTCATTCATTCTTTCTACATGACCAAACCACCGAAGCATTCCTTTCTTAATCCTGGTCACAACATCATCTTGCATACCACATTTATCTCTTATCACGCAATTTCTCACCCTGTCATTCAAATTCAACCCTAGTATATTCCTTAAGAGGTTAGAGTAAGTCAGCTCAAATTCTAATTTCGCCCCCACTTCCCCGCGCGTCGTATGCTATGTACCGAAATATTTGTAATCACTAATACTGTAAGTAGAAAGGTCGTTAGACACTTATTTCATTAGGTTTATCATATTTATGCCTGTTTCTTAACGCCAAGCCAGCCGCTTCTTATTTTTATCACGGTTATTTCCCATTTTAATTGTACGTCGTACTGTTGCGTAATGTATATTCTGATCGTAAGCGACACAACCTCCCCGTTCAAAAGCCTCAAAGGTCATTCAGTATCACTGTTTTGTTAACTTCCTTCCGCGAGGGTTGCCGGCAGCGACTGCCAAAAGAAATCGGGCCGATGCGCCTACACACACGCAGTAAGGAGGGGGCGGTGCCCCGATCTAGGAAGCATCGGCTGATCTAGGAAGCATTTTTGCTCCTGCCAGCCGATTAAGGAGGCGATATCGGCCACGACTTAGGATGGCCCTACATACGACACGATTTAGAGGCAATCTAGGAGGCATCCCCACTACTCCACCCTAGATCGCCACCGATATCGTGTCGTATGTAGCCCGCTTAACGGAACGACAGGAATCAAGCTCAAGACGCCGATAGTTTAGGTAATTTCTTTTTACAGTGAAAATAATGGTATTTTAAAAAAAGTAAATAACATAAGCACTGCTTTATAGTTAGTTCAGTTAGTATGCAAAGTTTCATGATCTTATTTAAAGTATTTTATGAATAACAGCGGTTTATTGTTTATTTTGGAGGTAACTTTGGATTTTTTTTTTCTATCGAGAAAATTTTACGAAATCGTGTTTTCGTCTAACATAATCACTAACTATAATCCTCAACTTTACCATATATTTATTTCAAAATTAATGCTGCAATACTTTCGGCATAACGGAGGATCTTGCTAAGCCATTTCAGGTTATATTTCCCCTTAAAGACCGCATTTCTACAGCATTTATTCTACTTTCGTGCTTCTTCTGCCACACCCAGCTTTCACTACCATACATTAAATTAGGGACTAACACAGCATTATAAATTACCATACGTGCCTTTTTTGACACATTCTGGTTCGTCATAATAGAGTGTAGTGCCCCATTCACTCTATTCCCTGCATTTACTCGCCACCATCCCTACCATCCCTGCTAAATACACATCCCAAATACACAAACTCATCCACTTGCTCAATTAACTCTACTTCTATTCTTATTTCACATACCGTTTTGCTTTCTTCTCTTTCAAAAACCATCACTTTCGTCTTACTTGCGTTCACTTTCATTCCCCTTTCTTTTAATTCCCAGTTCATTAATGTAACCATCATTTGCAACTCAGCCGCCGATGACGCAAATATGACTTGATCATCGGCATACAGAAGGCATTTGACGGTTAACTCACCCATTCTTAACCCACATTCTTCATCTTTCAAAGTTTGCAAACACCTGTCCATAAATAGGTTGAACAGCCAAGGGGAAGCTACACAGCCCTGTCTGACACCTTTTTAGATGCCAAACCAGTCCGAGTAGACCCCATTGATCCTGACACAAGCACTAGAGACCTTAATGCCTGTATCAAACCAGCGCTCAACCCATATGAGTTCAGTGTTTGCCATAACACATTCCTGTCCACTCTGTCATAAGCCTTTTCCAAGTCCATGAACGCACAAAAAACTTTCTGGTTTTTGGCCAAAAACTTCTCCGCAATCATGCGCATGGAAAAGACTTGATCTGTACACCCCATTCCCTTTCTAAAACCCGCTTGCACATCCCAAATTTTATTCTATGTTGATCGTATGACATATCCGTTGGGAGGCACTATTGAGGTCATTAATCCCAGGGCTCTTAGGTCCTCCAGCGATTCTGCCATATGGACTATATCGTCGTTAAATCGAATGTGAGCGATATACTTGCCATTGATGTTAATACCGTATACTTTCCAGTTCAGTAGCTTGAAAACGTCTCCAAATGCAGCGCTGAAGTTTCGGGAATATAACGTCACCCTGGCTTACACCTCTCTGCAGTTGGATAGCTTTCGTACTCTGGTTCTGTACTCGGATAGCCATCGTAGCCCTACTGTACAAACACTTCGATATAGCGACAATCAATTTGGCACCACTGAAGGGACTGTAGCACCGCCCAAATTTCGAAGGAATCAAAGGTTTTCTCATAGTCCACATACGCCAGGCAAAGTGGCAAATTGTACTCTTCGGTGTTCTGTACAATTTGCCGAATAGTATGTATGTGGTCTATGGTACTAAAGCCTTTTCGGCTTGTTCGAGAGGCTGGAAGTCGTCGAGTCTGCGTGCGAGACAATTCGTAATACTCTCAAAAACAGCACGTAGACGCGGCTCAGAAGGGAAATCGGTCTGTAGTTCTTCAAGAGAGCGTTGTCACCTTTCTTAAAGAACACGACCACCGCACTACTGCTCGACGCCTCCGGAGTAGTGCCACCATGGAGGACGGATTTAAAGAGCTTCTATAAATGATAAAAGTACTAAAAGAACTTGCCATTTCTAAGGTGCTGGAGAGCCATTCTAATCTCGCTTAGACTGACGTCCGGGATATCAAAGGAATAGTGTCGGTGCTGGGGACGGCGAGTAGATTCATCCATCCCCCCGCACCGCACCCACGTCGACACGTCCCCGCGCGCCTCGCATTAGAACAAGGGCCCCGCGCGGACGACACTCTCACTAACTCGGTGCCTACGGCGCACCGTCTTACAGAATATAAGAAGCGCTTCTGGCGCGGTTTCGTCCTCGTCATTCGAGCGACGACAATTCGAGCG